TGGGGACCATCTAATCAGATCAGGTACTCCTCTGGGGTGGTGGTAAGGACTGGTGGAAGGGCTTTAGGTGATAAAAAAGGGAAGAAGAAACTCTCTCTTCCTAAGCTTTTTATCTGTGATGGTGGATCGATGGAGCTCTGGATCGAAAAATATGTTCTATATAGTGGTCAGCGTGGTTGACTTTGTAGAAGTGCGTGGACTAAACCTGTTAAATTTATCATCTGCAGTGACATAGAAATGGGAAACAATAAGGTTCTAAACAGATTCAGCCCTGAGTGGACAAAGGCAGAGTACAAAATGGTCACCACCGTTATGCAGATATTAGGTGTCTGCTGAAATACACGAGCCTCTCCCAGGGTGAAGATCCAGGAACCCCTGTCATTCAAGTGCTACTTCCAGCACAGTGATTTCATGGGGTCAGGAAGAACTGGCTTCCCTCTCCCCCATCCAAGTACCAGCTAGTTGCTTCTCTAAGCATTATTATCTGCAAAACAAGGGTATCAACCCCACCTACCACATAGGCTATTTATGGCTATGGGAGTTTGCATGTGTTAAACAGCATAGTTTCTAGTACATATTACGTGCTCAATAACTGTTGGTCATATTGAATAGGTTTATTTATGGTCAAGTAGGCAGTTCGGTTCCTTCCTACTTCCCTTGTCTTTTCACAAACCATTCTCTTTATTCTCTTTTATGTTGTTCTCTCTCTCTCTCTCTCTGTATGTGTGTGTGTGTGTATGTGTTTGAACTCAGGCATACTGTCTTTAATTGTTTGTTTCAAAATAAGCCATGTATTCCTCGCCTCAGGGTCTTTGCATATACTGTTTTCTCTGCCTGTTTGACAACCTTTACCTAGTTAACTTGCATTCATCTATTGGCTGTCAGTTCAATCATAACTTTTTAAGGGAGACCGTTTCTGAAATCTGTGGCACTGGCTCTCCTATCTGACCCTCACTATAATTTTGTTGATATTTTATTAGTATTTGTGCAATGATTTGATTACTATTTTCTTTCTCTGGACTGCAACATCCGGAGACCTCACCATGGCCCTAGATCGAGTGTGCACACAGTAACTGCTGGTTGAAGGAATCTGTTTTGGCTTCTGACATGGCTCCTGGAACACAGAGCTTGTCATGATTCCATGGAGCTGAAACTGCTAAGTCAAGTCCATAATGTCTGGGATGGCAGCTAAAGAGGAGGACTAAATGCACAATTCAATTGTATCCTAGTAGGATTTTGAGACTCTAATGAGGTTTAGGGAGTTTCCTTTGGCTTTTGAGAATTTTGGCAAGACTAACTAAATTGATGAGCAAGTTTAAATCTGCAAGAACTCCATTGAAGGAAAAGTCATTAATTCTCCATTTTTCAGTTGAATTAGATGCTGAGTGCACTGAGGTCAGTATTCTGCCAATGAAACGCAAAACCATGTTATGGGCAAATCACATGTCCCTGTGGATCACGCCCTTTCAGGATTAGTTGCAACTGGAAGCTAAAGAAAATGGACCATTTAAGCAGAAAAACCCATTTGAATGAAACCCAAAGAACCACACTTTGTTTTATAACTGCTTTAGGGAATTCACATTTAATCAAAAATTGAAGACTATAGCATTTGCCAGGAGAATTCTTGCATCTTATCTCAGTTTTAGTGATTTCTTTTTAATTAGTTGGCGTTCCGCAGAAATCCTAAAATACTTAAAACAACTGGGAAATAGAAATAAAAGGGGGAGTTGCAATTGCTTACGGCAGAATTGTCTTTGCTTCCTTGGTTTTAGGCAATTTTGCAAACAAGTAACCTGTAACCTACTTCTGAAGGCTACAAGTAGATAATCACTTGGTTAATTTTCATATTTCAGTTTATAATACTAATTAGTTCTCCAACTAGTATTCCCTAGGCAACATATAATCCTACATCATCATATTTGTGAGTCTTGCTATCTGGGATCTCCTGTTTTCATTTAAAAGATGAAAAACTTAATTTGTGCCCCACATTCTTGTATTTTTATGCATTGTCATGTGTTCTTGCCAGGAGAGCTAGAATATTCTGTAATTTATAACTCAAAGGGAACTGAGTGAAAGTCAGTTTTGAAGCAATTTCTTTTCTTGTGATCATGAATACGTTACAAATATTAAAATAACCAGAACACACTTTTAACTGCTTCTTGAGAAGTAGACGGAGGTAAAGGATTTGATATCAGGTATATGAGAATTCACGTCACATCCCTACCCTCATTTGAGCAAAGTTCTTAATCTGAGTCCAAACTGTTGATAAGGCATCTACCTCACAGAACTGCCCCAAGGATTTAGTGAGATAATGAGGGCGTGTGTTTAGCCTATGCTTGCTTGGTACTTTCTGTATCCACAATGTCCAATAGAAGTGTAATGTGAGCCACATATGTAATTAAAAATCTAGCATCCACATTAAAACGTTAATAAGGGGAAAGTAATTATAATTTTTCATCTCATTTCACCCAACATATGCAAAGTATTATTTCAACATATACAAGATTATTGAAATTTTTTTTTAAAAGTACTAAGTCTTTGAAATCCATTTTCTCAGCACTTTTCAATTTGGACTAAGTGTATTTTAAGTACTCAATAGCTTTATATAGTTTGTGGCTACTGTATCGGACAGTGAAGCCCTAGATGGTCAATACATTTCCATTTTCTTCCCTTTGTATTTTAGAATTAGTTAAAGCCTGAGTCATTCGGCCAAGTGGGATGACTGCTATGAAGAATCAGGAATCTGTGCCCATAGTTCTTTAATTTATTTAGCTGTTAGAAAAACAATTAGCACAATGACTGGAAGAATATAGGTGCTAGTGATTTGCTGAATTCTAATTGCCTTAAACAATATGGTTCTAATAGGAAAAAATATATTTCTTTATTAAATTGGGCATTCAAATCTTATAGTGCTGTAAGGTGCAGCTAAAAAGAAAGTTTGAAAAAAAAAACAACCCTGTAGAGCTATCAAATTTACATTGTCTAAACTTGGGGTTTTTCTACCATTAGAAGGGAGTCCATGAATGAACTTTGGGACATGAAAAGCCTCCTGAATTATATGCAGTTTATTCATACAAATACATTTTTCTGCTGAGAGAATCCATTGGCTCCATCAGATTCTTAAATGGGCCCAGAAAATAAAGTAAACTCAGCAAGGGTGGCAGAAAGGCCCATTGGCCATAGTGGACACTCTGTTTATGTGGAAGCCAGGGCTACACATCAGTGGAAACAGAAGCTGTAAATCGTCTCATTGCTATTCCCCAGGAAAATTTTCAGCGTGGCCACCAGCTCTGAAATGCACCATGAGGCACTCAGGGAGCTCAGACTCATTGAAGAAATGGCAGATTAATGTTTCCTGGCTTCTGCTCACTCTGGGGCATCCACCGGTGAAATGCATTTATTTTTTGGTTGAGGGCACAGGATTGAATGCATCCAAGTTAACTGTGTACTCACGGCTACGCTCCCCTGAGTGCGGAGTGACAAGGGCTGTGAGACCAGGTGCTGGGTTCTAAAATCAAATCCCAGTTTGGTTAAGAATGAGCCTCCTTGAGCCCCCTGCTCATTGATTAAGTAATGATTTCTAAGGAATCTTCCAATTCCTTTGAGGAATTAGCTAAATTAGACTTGGGAAACCTCAAGCTATGTTGTAAGTTATAACCAAGTATATCAAGATGACAATTAAAAAAAGTGGAAATCAAATAATCTAGAATTGGATTTGAGTGTATGTTATTTTTTCATTCCCTCCACTTTTTTCAAGGTGACCCCCAAATCCAAGAGGCACATGGGAAGTCCTGATTAGAAACCCTTCTGCTTGACTCTGCCATTCTATGGCTGTTTAGGTTAAAGCTCTTTGTTCTTGCGGCCATGTACGCCACTCTGGTCATTAATGAGAACACACGAGGAGAGGAAAGCTATTTCCCCAAATAAACTCATATACTTATATGTGCTTTGCAGCAATTTATAACTCCTGACTTGTGTTGGCTCACTGTGAAACGTTAAATAGGAAGACGGGGTATGAGGTGAGAGAGCTAGGGAAGGGGAGCTTCCCTTGGGAGGTAAGGATCCAATTCTGTTGAAAGTTGAACTTGAAGAGTATTGGAAACCCGAGGCCCTAATAGTACACTCTTTGCAAAAATTTCACCTTGGAGGGCTGATTAGAATAATGTAGCAGATGTAATTATCTTAACAATGCCTGGTTCTGGAAGAGGTAATGAACAGACATCTTAATAATGAGGAATAAGTATTTCAGTGTTTTATTTTCATTAAGTTGTTTTATTACAAGTGTGACTACTAATTAGTCCCAAGCTTCTGGCCCCAAAGGAGGGATTTTTGGTTTGAGTGGGGGTCTGTGGAAGGAATATGTATCTAAAAATGCCTCAAACACCTGGTCATTTCAATCAAAACACCAATCAGATCAGTAAGTAAACCAGCTGTATGGCATTATGGCAAATAAAATGACACCCTTCCTAATCCTATATTTATCTTATTTGGTGTTATTTTTTTTTCAGCAGGTACTACAGCTAAACTTGGTGCAAACATCATAATCAGGGAACAGCTTGTATAATCAGGGAATAAATTCATTATTTAGGACCCTGAATGTGGTTTTGGAGCCCACCCTCTTTGGTGACCCCTGTTATTCCATGAAAATATTGCCTGATTTGCAGATACATCTTAGAAATGGAAAGCTGGCTTTAGCCACCCAGAGCTGTTATTACTGACAGGCAGTAATGGTTGCAATAAACCAAAGAGATTTCGTTGTAAATATGACTCTGATTGGCAAACTTGCTCATAGCTATTCCTGTTTATAGGATATTGGGCCAGGTTGACGTTTTCTGTAAGATAGGCAGGATGCAGGATTCTATGGTAAACTTGATCCCATATGCTTCCCCGCTAGACCTTGGTTTAACATCCGTCATTGGGTTCCAGGCTGAAAGAAGGCATCAGATGGTCTGAAATGCTTAAATCCTTCCAAGATAGCATGTAATACACCAAGAAAAATATAAACACTGAAAGAGGTTTTATTTTATAGGCACCACTGTAAAATGAGGAATCACGTCAAAACATATCAAATGGAAAATAATAATTTATTTTAACTTCATTTTACTTAATGTTTGTAACTAATGATGATTTCGAGAACTTGCTTGTATAAGCCTGTACTTTCAAATCTACAAAGCAAAGGTTTACTACAATGAGCACTTAAAATTCCACAAACTGTCTCCAGCCACAACTTTCCTGTACATGCAAATTCTTCCAACGGGCTGCAATATTTGCAAACATGCTTTAAACTTCCATAAAGCTGCATGATATTTTGCTTTCTGTTAAAACCTTTATGCTCTCTTGGGAACCTTAACCAGAAAAACGTTTCCATGTATATTCCAACTCGAACACTGCCGGCTTGGTTATATGTATTAAATTGTTAACCGCAGAGTTTGGTAGTTTTGAGTTGAAACCTTGACCTAAATCATATCGTAACGACACGCATGTGAAACACATTCAGTAAAGCAACATTATAAAATAGAGTTCCATTAAAAATACATACTGGCAGTTGTATTTGTGTTTTAGGCAGAAAGAAAGCATGTTTAACTTTTTTATATGAATATAGTTTAAACAAATTATTCTGTGAAAGTATGCTTAATAAAAGATCTTTTTGAAATTTAAACACTTTATGCAAAAGGGTACAGGTAAAAAAGTACAATTGCTATTTGCAAAAAGCTCTGTTTGTTAATATTGCCTTCCAAGCTAGTAAGGGTGTTTTCCCCCCCCCTTAAAATAGACCTATGACACCCCGAGTCCTAGGGTTTGCAAATGTGGACTATAAACACGACGACCGTATTTATCTTTATGTACAAAAACTTGCCGCATTGAACGAGGCAGGGATTTCTACCCCAACGGGAGTGGTCTCTTTTATGTACACCACGCAGGAGCGAGAGTTATACAGTCGTCACCGAGAGGAACGAATTGTACACCCGAGTGCCGTCTGGGGACTTCGTGCCGTGGGTTAAGAGTTCCTGGATCGTCATCCAGTTGTCAAAGATCTTTTTGTTCCTCCTCTTCATCATCTTCTTGTGGCTCAGTTCGAGGATGTTCATCTCCTTCCTGTCGTCGGCCGCCTGCTGCTCCTTGAGACAATCCAGCCGGCTCTGCATCATGAACTCGCGCCGCCGCCGCTGCTCCTTGGCCTTCACCAGGTGCTGCTTGCGCTCCTCCCTGCTCCAGTAGCGGCCCATCTTCAGCTCGCTCGCCGCGTCGTCGTCGGTGGTCATGCCGCTGCGCTCCTCGCGGATCTTGAGCGCGCGCTCGCGCAGCAGGCGGTCGCGCACCGGCCGCTTGGTGATGTAGCGCGTGCCGTCGCCGCGGACCTTCACCTTCCACTCCAGGCGCGGCTCGGCCGGGCCGGCGGCGCTCGGGTCCTTGCACACGCTGGCCAGGCTCATCTGGCTCTGCGCGTACTCCACGGCCG